TCTAAGTGATACATTTAATATCACTACCATTCTTCTTTTAGCTTTCAGAGGCCATTAGAAAAATAATAATAGCAATAAAGTACAACTCCCGGCTAAAGTGTCTTCCTGCGTCAGAGAGAGAATCTGAGACATTGTCAGACTGGACACACAGCGCCCTTGAGCAACTGCCATGAACAGGGGTGCCTTGTTATGCTCCCCAGCCATCAACTTATTGGTTCATCATCAGAATACCCCAAAGCACTACATACCAGGGATGAGCAAATTACTGTACCCAAAAGTACGTTCACCAATCAGCGGATTGATTCAACCAGACAGAAAATGTAAGGAAAAAACACATTCGTTTTGGAAAAAATACTTGTCCCAAATTCCTGACACCAACATTTCAGACAGATGCAAAGTTAACCAAACAGGAATCTGCTGATAATTTAATGGCTTATAAAGTGTCTATTTATGCTGCCATTTACTTAGGGAAACCTGCACCAGAAATGTGATGCTTCCTCAGGTGTTTTTGTTAAGGAAGAAATTACTGATTAAGAGATAAAGAACTGCTGTGTTTTCATCAGGCCTCGGACAATACATTTACAGGAAGTTTTACATCAGGAAATGCTTCCTCTATCCTTACCAAACTTAGAGGCAGACTACGTATGATAATAATTACATAGCTCCACCCTTAACTACAAAGCAGTGTTATTTTATATTTCATTTGGGGGAAAAAGATTGTGGAATAGCTAGTCAACTAAGATCATTGTTTAGAGATAGGGAGGCTTGTTTCCCCTCCTCTGTATGAAGTATGAAGCAAGATATATTTTTCCTATCAATGCAAATAGCCAGCATCAGGGATCCAGCAGGATTCACATTGAGAGCAGGATTAAAATATTATCAAAATAATATCTTTTTGAAATGCCACATGATGTAGTACATTGTACTAAATATATTTTAGAATATCAAAATATATATTCCTCGCCCAGAGGAATACTACAGTTCTCTGGAAAGAGGAGCACTGAAAAGTCTGAAGATAAGGTCAGTCAAGACACAAATATAAGAATTATTTAAGAAAAATCTTTAAAAAATCTTGTAAGAACTGTAATTCCCAAAATATCAAAACAAATGCAAATAAATCTGAAAGAAGAAGATGTCTTTGAAAATCAGAAAACACAGGCAAAGTTGCCTCTATTTATTTCAGCCATAATCAAATCCCAACAGAAGCAGGATCCTCTCAGTGACAAATCCCAACAGAAGCAGGATCCTCTCACAATCTATTCATTCAAATGCTCTTTTCAAGGGAAAGTCACCCATGCTTAATACCCAAAGAATTATGTGTCATGATTAACACCATGAGTTAATCATGATCTAGGCCGGATGCCAGTGAGTAATTCATAACCCAGGCTTGATTTGTTCATCTTAAGTGTCACTAATTAAAGCTGATTTTTGCTTTGTGGAAAGAGAACTTGAAGGAGGAAGTTCATTTGCTACTGACTGGAGAAATTACCTCAATGATTTTATTTTATCAGTTTCAAATACTTTATTTCAATAGGAACATCCTGAGAAACAGCCTTTATTTTATTTATTTATTTTATTCATTTAAGGTGTGCAGCTGAATTCAAAGCTTAAGAGGAACATAAAGTGACAAGCCAATTCAAAATTTTGCCATATATCCAAAGCAATTTAGTTTATAGCAACAATTTGGAGAGCAATTCTAAAACCACAGTGTGATCAACACAGTGAAGTAAGAAAAACAAAATTAAAACTTCTAAAAGGTGGAAGTTTTAAACCTTACTGCATCGTACCAGATTGGTGAAAATTGTCTGTCTTACTATAATGTAAATATGTCAGTGATTTACTATTATCTTCTGTAAACAACAATATAGCACACCCCTTATTGGGTAATCAGGAAATGTGCTTACAACTATTAGGGCTTTACACATAAAGTAGGGAGGGAAATCTGAATATGAACACTATTTTTTCCACAAGATCGCTGCAAGTAGTTGGAATGAAAAAATGTACATTTTTTATACTTTGCTAACTGGAAAATTCATTTTTGTCATAAACTATGCATATCCTATGCCAATTTTTCTTGATCTAGCAATATTTTTGTCTGATCCTTATTTTTCCAAAATCAAATAGTTCCAAGCTGTAGCTTGACATTTTGCCATCACAGGCTTTCTTAATTATCCAAATTTAGCAATACCAAATTAATAATACAGCAAAATAGTTGTCTTTGCCAACAAGACTATTTATACCTTTGAAATACTGAAATACAACATCCTCTTCTTTTATTTTCTCTCAAGGGAAAAACAAATGCTATTTTATATTTAACCTTATCACTTGAATCCAGAAGGGGTCATTTTATTCCCTGAATGTCTCACTCAGTCTTAAAAATAACGGAGCTAATTTCCCTATGTTGCTATATTTGTTCGTCTATAGTGACAAAAAAAAATCTGGAGCCTGATAGCACTTTTTCCAATTGCAGAGACTGGCTAGATGGATGGATATTTATACTAAGATGAAGTATCGAGAGAAAGTGGGGAAGTAGAAATCTAAGATAACATGCCAATAAGGAAGTTTGAATCCTCTGATTAGTGAATCCACTACTTCAAGAATTCTGAACTTGATCAAACAGGTGACATACTATACTCATTATAGTCAAAATCAAGTAACTGAGAAAGCTGTTTCAACATAGTCTTACTTTCTAAGGGTAGGAACAACTCATATCTTATTGCTGAATGATTGCTTATTACCCAATAATGGCTATTTTATACAGGTAGCCCTCAATTTGTTCAACATACAATGATTGTTTAAGAC